AGCTCACAGCAGTGAATCAAACACGGCCTTAGAATCAGAATAGTCCTTCCGATTCCGATTCCAGACCCCTATTCTTATAAACCAAACAGAGGGCCTAGGACTTAAACTTTTAAACATAGTTACATCCATACCATTATGAGGGAGTTGAAACTAAGGCGATGTATGTTTTCCAAAGCAAAAACACTAGCAATAAAAATGACAAAGCAAAAATAGAATGCTTCATATTTGGACCACCTGACTTGGGGCAGTTTTTGCTTTTTCTTGCAAATTGTGGAAGGCTTTACACATACACGCCTTCCCATGCCACATCTCTACGTTGTGAAAGTTTTGAGTTGGAAATAAGTTGCCACGTGACAAAAAGTGCCACATGGCATTAGTTTGTGCAATATATCATAACTATGGTTTTTTAACAACTATTTTGTTAACCACATCTCATGGCTAATTTGATGCTGCGTGGCAAGGTAGACTCCTAGACATGTGAATTTTCCACGTGGCAAGATGAACATGGCGCACATGGAATTTTTCATATCACATGTGATAAAAGCAATATACCACTACCAAATTATTTGTGCTTTCACATTTAAAAGTATATTAAGTTAATACCAAACTTCAAAACATACAGTAACAACATGAAACAAGCTTCATGCTTTTGTGGTTTGAAAATTACAAAAGTATAGGGTGGTTGTCTGTAAGTTATGCTAATTTTTCACTTGATTATTGATATAGGCATATTCGGTCGATTCACTAAGTGTTGATATGTGGCACCACCCAAGGGTATTTCTACCATTTCGACCTCATAGCGTAACTCCCACAAGTCATCACTATGGAGCATTTACTACAAGCATCATGTTCTCGGCACACTTACTCCCAACACACTTATGAAGGGGTAGTGATCGGCCGATGGCTCTTTGGCTCTATTAATAAGTGTGATTTATGGGATGGTTACCTATTATTCATCACTCCTCTTCCGAGCGACTCTAACCATAAAAGGGTCATCACAATTTAAAGGTACGCTAATGCATACTTGAGCTAATCTTTATTCTCTTGCTGTGACTTCGGCTTTCCCTCAACCCTCGACTAACTTGATTGTCGAAGCCCTCACCCCTAGAAACACTTTCAGGGCCTCTGGCATCTTTTCAATCTTAGCAGGTGGGACCCTTGGCCTTTGGACCTCGGAGATTACTAAATTGCCCTCAGCTCCAGTTTTGGTAGCAACAATTATCTTTAAAATTGAAAATAAAAAATAAAAGAGAGACGGAATTCACCCCCTTCCATCCTCTCACACATTTGAAATCTAGATTCCATGTAGTGTAGATGGTGCATCTAAATTTGTTTGGGTGTATACACGTAAGTGTAGTGGCATAAGAGTGGGAAAAATCCGAACGCATTCAACTCCATGTCACCCTATGGCTCAGTTTGGAAGGAGTACAAATGCAAATATGTAGAGTGCAAAACCTTATATTTTGTATTATTTTATATGTATTTGCATTTGTAATCTTTCCAAACTGAGCCTATATTGCATTTTCCCTAGGGGTGCAATCAAATCGAGCTTTTCAAACAGTTTAGACTTGAGTTCAATTCTAATTAAGTTTAAATCTCAGAGTAAGTTTGATTAGTATTCAAACTCAAACTTAACTAATAAAATGTTTTACAGGAAAACTTGCAAGCCTACTTAAATTAATATATATTGAGCTGAGCTCGAACTTATAGAGTTAAATTGAATTTGAATTCAAATTCAAATATAGACGTATTTTAATCGAACCAAGCCTAGACATGCCAAAATTCGGTTCCACTCAGCTCAATTTCTCCCCTACTTTCCCCTACTAACAACGCTTAATACATAAGAAAGAGAGAGAATGACTATGATCTCTTCCCACCTGGTAATGGTGTTCTTATATCAAACTTGCAATCTTGAAATGGGGCAATATGAGGCACATATGAACCTGTTTTGGAGTAATGGGTCATCATCCTCGTATAGAAGTAGAACTAGAATAGACAAACATAAAGTGTCCTAACAATCAACAAAAAGAAAGAAACTTATAACAAACAGGACCTCTCTTTACTTAGAAATCAGTTAAACTTGTCCATGACTCCATGGTATAATAGGCATCCTTTTAATTAATATTGTATAAGGTAGATAACTTCTAGAAATTTAATTCCTAGTTTATAGCTACTAGTCTTGTACTATCTAATATCTTTAAGTAAACACCAGAATTTGTTAAATGACATTATAAGTAATAAAATTAAATTTTTAATTCAATGAAACTGGCATTGTAAATAAAGTAATAAAAAGCATTCCTCTTTCAAATGAATAGAGGAAGAGGATCTCATCCCCCACAACAAGCCTCTAATCTCTTTCTCAGGTTGGTTGAGGATACATCTAGATAGACAGTTTTTGGTCTTTATGTTAATTATTTAGCAGTTATTTGTTTTGATTGAACAAACCATAAAGATTAATATAATGCAAGGATGTCTTTAAAGTTATGTTTGGTTTGACACATAATAAGAGAAAAACAAAATGTTGAGGGGAAAATATTTAATAAAATTTGTAAAATTCTTTATAGGCTTCGTTTGATAAGAGTGTAAATACAAATATGTACAGTGCAAATACATATGCTGTCATTTTTCATAAGGCTGAGTTTGGAAGGAGTACAAATGCAAATTTCTAGAGTGCAAAACCTTATATTTTGTATGTATTTACACTGTACATATTTACATTTGTACTTTTTCCAAACTGAGTCTAAATTGTGCATATTTGTATTTGCATTCTTTGCACTGTACATATTACATTTGTACTCTTCTCAAACTGAGCCTCTTGTATTTCTACTCTTTCCAAACTGGGCCTTAGGCTCAGTTTGGAAAGAGTGCAATTACAAATATGCACGGTACAAATACAAGGTTTAGAAATACTGTGTACAAAGTTTTGTACTGTATAGATTTGTATTTGCACTCTTCCCAAACTGAGCCTTAAAAATTTATCCTCAACTTTTTCTTTCTTATTTTCTATCAAACCAAATGCAGCCTAAATGAAAATTGTTATTAATAGGTATTGCATGCAAAGCCACAAAAGCAATTTTTCCTAGCAAACAGTCAATACCACTAACCCCTAGTAACTAATAAAATCTCTTTCTATAGAATTTTCAGAAGGCCAACTAAATCCTAATTCTTACCAACCATGGTTAAATGACTCAAATTGTTAATCTCATTTAGCATGCCAAAAAAAAAAAAAAAAAAAAAAACTCTGGAATCAAGGAAAGACTAGCCAGTTATTTAATAAAATCATCAGATAAGCTGAACTCGCGTAACATGTTGTCAAGGGTATTGTTCAAGTTATATGATTATATACCAATTGTGGATGTGGTCCATCAATCTTAATGGACTAATGGTGAACATCTGAATTGAGATGCTCTTTCAAATAAATCAAGAGCTAAAATTTGGATATCTAGATTACAGAACAAAGTGGGGTGGTTAATCAATTAAGCTTAACAAAAGGATAAAAAGAAAAGGAAGAAGCCACTAAGGACCACCATTCCACGGAATTATGATACAGAGAGAAAGACAGAAGAGTGCCAACATTAAGGGAAAAAAGGGAAGGGGGGAGGGGGGATAGCCCTTGATTCTTAGGGTACGGTCCAGCGAGGACTCCAATGAGGGGCTGCTTTCTGAGCATTTACTGTAAGAAGCCTAGTGCTGCCCATGGCTCCATGCTGCATTATAAGTAATATAACACTATCAGTCCATGACCTAGAACTGGTCAGACTGGACCAGCTTCCAGTTAACAAGCATTAGTTCAATAATCACCACACACCTGCTATTTCCCCGGGACCAAGGCCGACGACCTGTCAAACCTTGCTCAATGCTTCCTATTCCAAAATCCAATTCCCCCTCAAAGTCTCAATCCCCAACCCACCCCACCCAAAAAGAAAGAAGAATCTGGAGCCTCTGGGAGTGCAGATCTCTGCTAGTTGCCAAAGCTGATTAGTGCTCTTTCACCAAGAGAACAGTAGAAACTTCTCCATTCCCATTTCCCAACTGAAGTCATGATGAAAAGGATCATGTTAGCTTACCTTTGCCATCAATAATTCAACATATACAACTCTAGAGGCCTAGAGTCTGGGAATGGGAGCTAATATCACCCCATTATTGCTTCTTTCATTCAACTATTAATTCAATTACATATTTACATCCCATATCCTGCTTTCTTTATAAAAAAGTAATTCAACAGAGTAGTACAAGAAGCAAGCATCACCATTTCTCTCTCCTCTTGTTTTTTTACTGTTAGTTGTAACACAGAATGCTGCTATTCTTAGCTAGGTAAAAAGGAGGGGAAAAAGAAGAGAAAGGAAGAGAGTGGTCAGTACAAAGAGTAGAGAGAAAAACCAGAAAGAGAGTACAACACGCGTCAAAGCATGACAGGTGAAGCTTTGAAATGTGAGGTCGTCTTCAGACTTGGAAAAAAAAAAACAGAATGGTCGCTCTCGATACGATTCGTGCAAGAGAGTGTGTGTGTGTATGGAACAACACCGCCACACAGCAAAGCACTATCACAGTGAAATGGAAGAAAAGATGAGTGATCTCACAAACTAATTGGTTGGGAGTGCTGGGGTGTATTGACTTGCCACTGTTTTTGATGTCTGAGATTGGATTTTTTGGACCAACAGAAACAACACGCATGCTCAAGGCTGGATCATGTGACCACCAACCCACCAACAGATAACACCCCACAAAGAAACAAAAGGAAAAGGAGGATTAGATTAGGCAATGAAGCATTACTGTGCGTTACCCTCCAATCTTAAGCGGCTGCTTCCTACCCTTTTGGTTTCTTTACCCTTCACTACTTCATCACCCCCTATACTGACAGGAAAAAAATGGAGCTTGTGGTCCTCACACATCTCTCCCTCCCTTTTTCACCTTTTCTACTGCTTTCTTCTTCTTCTTCTTCTTCTTCTTCTTCTTTACGAGTTTCTTCTCTTCACCTTTCTGTTATTTCTTCTTCTTCTTCTTCTTCTTTACGAGTTTCTTCTCTTCTCCACCTTTCTGTTATTTCTTCTTCTTCTTCTTCTTCTTCTTGTTGTCCTGCTCTGTTTCAGCCAATTATTCCGACAGAATGGAAACAATTAGGCAGGGGGGGAGTCAAGGCTTGATGAAGGAGAAGGGGAAGAGGGAGGTGGTGGTGGAGGATGTTGATGAGGAGGAGGAAGAAATTGGTGGGTTCGAAGATGACAAGAAGAAGAGAACCATCGTGTCTCCCGCCTGTAGGAGAGGATCAAGCGGAGGTGGCGGGGTTTCCCCACCTTGTTGTCAGGCTGAGAAGTGTACTGCTGATCTGAGTGAGGCGAAGCGCTACCATCGGCGTCATAAGGTCTGCGAGCAGCACTCTAAGGCTCCGGTTGTTCTTGTTGCCGGTCTCAAACAGCGCTTCTGCCAGCAATGCAGCAGGTTAAAATGAAAGATATCTGCTTCCACATATCTAGTTTGTTATGTATGTGCGTTGTCTGAACAATTTCTTGGCTCTTCTGGTGGGGTGGTTACTAAACGCTTTTGCTCAATTTGGAAGAAGACGTTTGAGGTTGTAACCTTAGTAATCTGGTTGAATTCCGGTTTTTAATTAATTGAATTAAAAAAAAAAAGCGAGCGAGCGAGAGAGAGAGAGAGAGAGAGAAACTACTCTGCCAGGATACTTAAAAAAGAAGAACTTTTAGATCATACAACTAGGAATTCCCTTTACTGCTGTTATCTGGTTGGTCAACGGGGCATTATAAATTCTTGTAGAAGATGAAAAACATCCCACACATTTTACTTTAATTTGCTTTGATTCTGTGTTCATGAGACTGTGAGCTTCAGTTTTCAGTTGGTGTATCTTGGTTTATTTCTGCAGCAAAGGCTTCAATTCTTTTTATCTTCTCAGTTTTTTTTATTAATTTACTTAGAGAGTTTCTTTTCCTTTTAGCTTTGATGAGTTTTCTTCTTTTAAAGCAACTAAACCAAAACATCTTTTGTTTTCGACTTCAGAGAATTAAAGTACTGTTTGGCAATAAGAACTAATGGCAGTAAAACTTGCCACTAGTTCTGATTGCATATGTACAGGAAAAGAAACTTCAACATGTGGACAAGTTCTAAGAATTTCCTGTGTAGGGTTCTAGTTAATTTTGATTTCAAACCATTAGATAGATTTGCGTGTTGGTAATGGGATTGGGATGTTTCTTTATGGTAATCTGATTCTTAACGTCATGGCGTGGGTATTTTTTCTCATCGCATAAAGTGAAGTCCAATCTTTTTCCTGTTCCTCCATCTTGTTGGTTATTTTGAAGATCTTTCCTAAAAATGATAATTTTGATATCAATCCTGATGCACTCACTATTCGGTCTTCAGTGGTTATAGGAGTTCTTAATATTGTGAAGAAAAAGTAAAAAGTATGAGGTGATATTATGTTTCTTTATATGTATGTTATTTAATATCCTGCTGAACAGGTTCCATGAGCTATCAGAGTTTGATGAAACTAAGAGGAGTTGCCGTAGGCGATTGGCTGGGCACAATGAACGCCGAAGGAAGAACTCTACAGAATCTCATGGAGAAGGTTCAAGCAGGAAGGGTGTGGCAACTCAGCTGAAGGAAAACCATTGCAGGCAGGCTGACCAAAGTGGGAGGATGCAGATACCCCATACAGGATCTGCCAATTACAAACATTTTCAGATTAGATAAGATCTAATTGTTTGCTCCCAAGCATGCTCTCTCTCTTCTGTCATCTCTGGTTCTTTTATGCACTGATTACAATGTTATGTATGCCTATATCTTGAGGATTTGTATCTAAGTCACAAAAAAAAAAACCACAGCATGGTCTATCTTATGGTCATGCTCAATTTCTATCTGCGGTGGTAGGTATCAACTATTTGATGTGCTTAATTGCTACCTGCAGCAGTAGGTATAAACTATTCAATGTGGTTTTTAAGTTAGTGTTCATGTAGAAATTTCACATCAGTGAATATTCGCAACCTTTTATATCTTAAGAGTACTTAGTTCTAAAACCATGATATTTTAAGGGGAAAGATTAGTTCCTAGTTCCTACAATTAGAGGTTTGCTGAAAATTTGTAAACACTTAAGAATGGTGTTAGTTTCGAAGTCAAGGGTCAAGGTGCATTTTTGGGTCATGCTCTTATAATACCTCATGATGCTCTTTTTCTTCTTCAAGTTTTTGACTCTTTGGTTCAGTGTAAGCCTGTTTTAGAAAATTAGGAGGGTGGAAATGTCTCTATGCTTTTGGATCTCTTTGTCAAGCACTAGCCAGCTGAATCCTGGATTTCTTTTTTCTTCTAATGACCTTCTGAAACTTCTGGTTATATATTCTAGTATTTTTTTTTATTGTTATGTTTGTTATTTTCATTAATTAGTACTTGATCTAATTGCATGTTAAGTTTACTGCTTATTGCGAGCCAATAGTTGATTGATCATGGTTTCAAATTTCAATTCACTTATTTGTTGGGCTACTCAAGTAGCAAAGTTGGAGTTGGAGTAACATGATCCTGAACATTAATCTTTATATATTAAGCACATAGAAATACAAATACTGGGTATGATTCAGTTTCCCAGTACCTTTTTTTTTTTTTTTTTTGAGAAAATTTAACCAGAATTCATTAAATGAAGAGGAGGTACATGAGAAGATGTACAAAGCAGGGGAAGAACCCTACAAATTACAAAGGCAGTTTCCCAGTACCTCAACCTGATTTCAAGGCGAGGTAAAACCAAACCACTTGAAAATAAGGTTGAGCCAACCCAAGTTGCATCCTTCTTACTTGGTAGTCTCAGCTCTGTACAAGACTTTTTTTTTTTTTTTGCTTTTGGCCCTTCTGAAGTTTTCTGTTTAGTCATAATCATTAGTTATGTTTATCTTAAGTTTGTTTGCCATATGTCGTTGATTACTCACCTGAGAATTATGAGTTTCTATCCAGATAGTAGGAAAAGGAACCCACTTTTTGTGCTCATGGTGATCTTGCCACTTCTTATTTATCACATCAAAATATAGAGGTATTAGCACATCTTACCATGGTTTGCCAAGCATCAAGACCTTCACCTTTTCTAACGCCAACTTCTCCACAGATTTTGGAAGTAATTCGTTAGTTCTATCTATATTCCTGTTAACCTATATTATGGGAAAGTTGGTGTGAGGTGCAGTTAAGGTGGAGAGTTGGGTAAGATGTTCCACCACTCTGATAAGGGCGCATGAAAGTCATTATTAAACCAATGTTCCAAGTAAGCAAGTCATATATAAAATGAGATGCATTCTGTTATTGATATCCAATGAACAGAAATGCAATAATGTAACTTCCAACATGATAATAACATATTCAAATGTAACAGTTCAAAAACTGTTACCATGTTAGGTTTACTGGGCATTTGGTACTGCACATCTACAATTGCTAACACCTAACGTTCTAATTATAGTTCATTTTAACAATGTTGATTAGCTACTGGATGCCAAATTAGCTCCATAATGGATCTGAAACACATCCAATGCCTTTAGTATAAATGGATACCTTGGGTGAAGTGAAGATATTATCTGATGCATTTGAGATAACAATGAAATTTTTTATACAGTCCCTTTACTATTTAGGATAATTTCGTACATAAAACAGGACTAGCTAACCAACTGCTGGCCATCCATTTCTTATTCATTCAGTTCTGTGTTGCATTGAACACACGAGAGGATGCAGAGAAGATGCTTCAGATTGAGATGAAACATGGAAGTTGAACAATACCTACCCTCCCTCTTGAGAGGTTCCATTATAATTTTCGGACTCAGTTCATCATGCCAGTTGTCTCATAATAGGGATTTATGAACAAAAACTTCTTAGTTACTAGCTTATCTTACACTACATCTTGAGGTTGCAAAAAGTCATAGGCTATATTATGTAGAAATCAGAAGTAATGTGCTGCCTGCCATACATTTCCTGTTCACCACAGAGCAACATCATAAGATCATTTACTTCAATCGGCTGCTCTAGGGAGTGAGGTAGTTTCGGATGTAATCACCAAAGGCTGAAAGACTTGTCCAACTTTCAATCAAAAGTTGCTGGGACCTCCATGGGTGCCCACTTTGGGGCTTGATGCTGCTTCAACTGCTACTAGCATTTTTATCTCTTCTTATTCCACCTCAAGTACAAAGCATACACAATTAAGCTTCTGCTTTGTTAGAAGTCATATTCGAGTTCAAGCAATTGAGCAAGAGCTTTATAAAAGTAAATCTCCTTGAAATTATTGCCTATTTAACCTTCTCTAGATGTCCAAGCACTGACATCTATGTAGATTTCCTAAATATCCATGCAGTTATGGGCTGTGGGACAACAGTCTAATTGCCACCATTCCTGTTCCTATCTCTTTTTCCCCGTGAGCTGTTTAAGAGGACTTGTAACACAGTAATACCAGTTTTTTTATTTTTCTTTTCTTTTGAGTGTTACCAGAGGTGTTTCTTATCTGTTAATCCATACAGCTTCCCATGCCTTACATTATAGTCTATTAGCAACCATTCTGATGCCCTCAGCAATATTAACAGGATTCAGATCCCATTTACATTGCGTTTCCTGCTTCATAATTATTTCTTTGATTCAAATCAAGTAAAACTTGCAGATGAGTTTTTGATTTTTTCTTTTCAGAAGAGGTCCACTTTTATTAGTATATTGCCATTACTTCTCTTTGTATCTATTATTTGTTATCTGTTCTTTCTCTTTCCAACTTGGAAAGGGCATTGTCTTTAGTACTCTTACTGAAACTGGTCCCAATTCCCAAAGGGCCACCAAGGATTAGGGCCTGATGGGTGATGAGTGTAACCAGGCGGAAGTAATAACAAGATTGCAGGAAGAATAGTGAATGGTCCCACATAGGTGGAGTTATTTGCGGTATAGATTATCAGTTTATGTACTTAGAACTGGCTTGGTCATCTTAAGATGGTCTTCAATTACATAAGGATCATGATATGCGATTCTTGTAGTAGTTACTGAAAATTTTCCATCAATACCCAGTATCATCTTCCAGACTTCTAGTGTTTCTCGCAGTTGACAGACTTCCATCTATGGAATCTAGGTATTGTTAGTTGTTACCCGTGACGATATAAAGCACTCATACACAACTTTCTGTTAACGGTGCATGCTTTCGTGAACTCAGGATCCTGAACTTCAGGACACTTTTGGACCTCTGGTGTATGTCAGCACCCCGTAATGGCTTTTACAGTTCTCCATAGTCCATATTGTGCTGAATCATTCATGTAGGAACTTGCCTTCTTATGTATGCAAAAAGATGAAATGGGGATTTGCATCTTTGCCTTGTGGACCTTTTCTTTATTTTGGAATGATTGGTTCAGCTTGTTGCGTTGTCAACTTTTACAGGGTAGGCCCTGAAAGGCTGAAACACCAAACTTAGGCATGCGTCTGATTCTCTGACTGTACTTGTCTTAGCTCATACACTTAGTCAGTTGCCTCAACAGTTTCAGTACTTACTCTACTATTGAACTGGGTGTTGGCTTGTGGCTTGTAAGAACATGGTTGTTTCTTTATAGAATTGGGATCTGCTAAAATATCCTTTTTGTGATTTGCAACAAAACCAGTTAGGATTTGACATTTCCTTAATTGCACCATTGCATGAGTAAACGAGGGTTCAGTAAAGAACAAAGTACTTAATGATATGATGGAAAAAGTTGGATCAAGTGGTAGTCAGTCCGTCAAAAAATATAACCTTTGCTCTTCCCTTCTCAGTTCTCACTGAAATGCTAAAGGGAACGGAAGTCTAGGCCTCCAGATGTGACTTGAAACGATCTCCCTGTATGGGCTGTATTCACTCTTTCTTCTTGATGTTATCTGTATTGGGAAAAGGCCTACTATCTCACAATAATCAAATAATAAAATATATTTGAACTGAAGCAAAATAATTTTCTTTTCTTCTTTGTGCAATTAAATGAGAATGCAAGTTAAACAATATCGATCAAATAACTCAGAGACAAAAATAAGTATCACTAAAATGATAATAGAGAAGAGGAATAGCAAATCAAACCAGTAGATATGCAGTTTGAGGCGCCAACAACTACATACTAAAATCTCAAGATGATCGCAGAAAGGGATGTCACGCAAGTTCTATGTTCTTTGCCCATAAAAGCCCACAAGAAACTCTCTTCTCCTTTTCCCTCTCTCTCTATTTTTTCTCTAATTTTCTCTTTTGTATTCGATGGAAGACTTCACCGAACCGTTCTTATTCACCCCACTAACCGAGCAAGCATCACTTGCTCATAACTGTCTTTTCTCATGCAAAGACACGTAGGGCAGCCTCTTCAACTTCCAACCCCCCTCTCTTCCTTTTCCTTTTTTTTTATTTTTTTTATTTTATGGGCCCTCTACGTGGGAAGGGAGCCCGATCAACAATCTGTGGGGTTCAGAAGACTACAGATGCACAACTAAAGGACCCAGTTTCAGAAAACTCCCCTAAAAATGTCAAAGGAAACCATAACAAATTTCATTCCATTTCATATGACGTCCATTGAATGGGTGGTGAGATAGAACTGCAATACTGGATGCTGCCAAGGGCCCAAGGCCATCCCTACCGTCAGCATCACAAATACTTTGGACGTGTGATGGGTACCCAGTTTTGCTGTCTCGTCTGATTGTGCTGAATTTTGGCACACAAGTGATTTCTGCACTGGATCCAATTTGATAGTGGATTGTCGTCATTGTCGTCGTCGTCGTCATCATCATCGACATCCTTCTTGTATTTGGTACACATGTCAAAAGCAAATAAACTCTAGTGCTTAAAAATAGGACACCGCGCGAGGATGAGTATTAATGAGGTGGGTGACTGGTGGATGTGGATTCCAAAGGGCAGTTGGTGACTGGTTTTGAAAACCATTTTAGCTCTCTAGCAGCATTTTGAGGCATAAATTTATCTGCTAAAATAGGTTCAAGGTCGATGAAGAAATTACTTCATGGGTGTTTGCCAATTTGCATAATTTTGTTCCTTGAAACA